TGTACACGTGTGATTTCTGTCGACGGTTGCACCCTACAGTACTTCAGGACCAAGTTTGGTTTTCGACGTGTACACGTGTGAAATATGTACACGGTTGCGGTGTACAGTACAATCTGAGCATGTTTCATTTTCTCCGCCTGACACGTGTATGACCTGGACACATGTACTCATTACACTGTCGGACGCGTACAGTACGCCTGCAGTCTTACAGACAAAGTGTAGAACCTTGGTGGCGGGTGCCTGGCACGTGCCAAAGGTTTACAGCGTCCATGGAGTGCAGCACGGGTACAGTAGGACACAAAGATACCGTTGCGCGAGTTTTGAATTCGTAAGGCAAAATGTGCACTGTTGTAATTGACAGTGGACAGGACCGCACGAGAGATTCAGATTCATAAGGCAACGTGTGCGCTGTAAACAGTCCTTGCAAGATTCATTTGAATTCGTAAGGCAACGTGTGAGCTGTAAACGTGCCTTACGAATTTGTGCCACGCTGGATTTGGAATAGTAAGGGAATTTGTGCTTTGCTGTGCTTTGTTGTACTGCCTTACTAATTTCTCCGTCATGACAGTGGTAATTCGTAAGGCGATTTTCTGTTATGTTTGTTGGGCCATCGCCAGTTTGGCTGAGTAGCAAGACGGGCACATGTGTTAGAGCCAATTTATTTGTAGTATGTGTGTCGTAGTCTTTGGTAGTAGAGTTCTAGAAGATTGCAGAAGTGTATAAGTAGTGCCAGAAGTTGGCGACTCAAAGTAAATCGGTACCCAATCCTTCCACTTCACCTCATCAACGGTCCTTCGAATCCCCTTCGCCCCGCTGACCTACCATTATGCCACACCCGAAGCATTTTCCGTTGAACTGCTTTGGGGTGCTGTTCCTGTCAACGAATGGCCTGTATTTAGGGTTGGGTGGAGGGTTCCCATACGTGTCTACGAATAGCACGTTACCTAAAGACTTGTCGCCGATCCTGCCTCGCGTGGTCCTGGAGCTCCCTCCTTTCATATCTGCCGCTCTTTTTTCTTCTATGGCTTGAGCCCTCAGAGTAGCATACATCGTGGCGAAGTCGAGTTCGCTTGCCCGTGCGGTCGTGGGTCTTGCCCATCGATACGACCTCGCTGCATACTTCAGCCAACGTTTCTGCTCCTCTTCGGTTTGCAAGTTTTTGGGCACTAAGTTGATATGTTTGATGATTTCGTCTCTGACGTGCTTTAGACCTTGTACGATCGAACCTTTCTCGTTGGCTGAGTTGTATAGCGAAAGCGAATTGAGGTACTCAACGGTCGCCTCTTATGCTTTCCTACTGTGAAACCTGTCCAAGACGAACTTGTCCACATCTTCACAGCACTTGAACTTCGCCGGGTCACTCTTGAGCTTTCTCTTATAGTACGTTCTTGCTTCTCCTGCCAATATGTTTTCTATATTGCGAAGCGCGGCGTCCTCGGAGACGCCCCACTCAAATGCACACGACATATGCGATGTGTAAATGTCCTCCCAGTTTTCACCCTCGTCTCCGCCGTATTTATCCGAACGATCTTTGAAACGTGTGCTGAGTTGGCTCAGCACGCCTATCGTTTGTGTCCATGTCGGCTGTCCATTTCGTGCGAGACTCGGGGCGTTGCGGTGGTCTTGAGGCTGTTGGGCTACCTGTTCTTGTCCTGAATTGTCCCGCTCTCTCGGCTTGGTTTCATGATACGGTGCCTTGAATCTGAAAGGCGTGTATGCTGGTTCTGCTGGTGGTGACTCTTTAGGCATATCGATCATTGTCTTTGCGGGTTCTGGTGTCAGATTGCTCTTCCTCGTCCTCGCGGGTTGCGTGGTCGGCTGAACTCCGTGCGGTGACGGGTGCCCTTCCGAGCTGTACGAACGAGTGGTCTCACTTCGCCTTAAGGCTATGTTTTTCATGCCGTCTTCTACTAGCTCGCGGCACAGATCCAGTGCGTCTTTGGTCGCTTGCTCCTCCCCGTAGAATTGTGCAAGTGCCTTCTTTATCTACATGCCGCGTCGCTTCTGGATTGCGCATCCTTGCGCTTGTATCAGATCTCGGATTTCCTTATACATTCTGGGAGCGTTGCGGCCGTTTAGTGCTTCTTTGGAGAATAGAGTCTCCGGTGGGAGTAGCTCCAAGTAAGACTCCTGCAGCTGTTCTCCCGTCGTGTTCGTCGTGACCACTTCCTCCATCCATCGCCGAATGTACTCTTGCTTCACGGATCCCGCGTCTGCTTTCCATGCCAGATTGCGTACCGCCGAGGAAGCCCCCGCAAGACGGCTAGCTGGGTCACCTTCGCCTGAACTGTGTGAAGACATCTTACCAAGTTAGTTGCCGTAGTCCAGCGCCAGCTGACGATTCCGGAATGTTGTCGGACTGAGCAAAACAAGCAACTACTCGGACTTTCCTCGCCGTTCCTCCCTCCCTCTCTCTTGTCGCGCGCGCGCTCCCTAGTAGGTCAGAGCTTATTCACTAACAAGAGAATACCGAGGCCTGGAAGAAACAACAACAACAACACAGATCGCGGTATGTTCTTACCCCGCGTTCAGCACTTTACTGCGCCAAACCAAGATTCAATAAACATACGCTACCCTCGTCCCCGAGTAGGTCGAGGGATTACAATACTTAAGCTATGGTTTCTGGTAACCGTTCCCCTAGTTCGGCGTGTCAATTGCAGTGTAGGCACCCCTTGAGGAAAAAGGCGTATATCGCGCTCCATATATCACGCGCCTCTTCAGTGGTAGGCACCAGGTTGAATGTCCAAGTTCTCCCTCCATCGGGCGTGGCATATGTCACTGTAATGGAAAGAGATCCTAATTACACCATCACATGATCACGGTTGACAACAGAAGCAGCTTCGTCGCGCAAGGCACTCCCCTTAGGTGTGACCTGGCGTGAAGTTTGTCCTTCCAATGTGCTGTACCATCTGGCTACGGGCAAATCTTCGCAAATCGAAGAAAATCGATCCTCAAGCACAAATGTCGAGTTCACTGCGCAACCGACTCCACAATTCTCTTTTTCAATGACCTGAGGATGTGTCACCTGTTTCTTCTTTCGAACTGTAAGTCTGTTTCCTCCCCCGCTATTTCTTTTGGCTTTCCGTTGCTCAAACTCTTCGAACAAATTTTTTACGTCAAATGTTTCGCCTCTTTGCCGCCTACAAGAGCTCAATTGGGCAAAGGTGACGTCGTTTGAGTTCTCGTAGGACCACTATGTTCCCGAAAAACAGTATTAGTGAAATATTTCGTTGTGGTCAGCAAGGAAATTTCAGAAAGTGCTCTCGACGGAAAAAGATTTGTCACAAATCTCCCGAACGCGTCTGAGAAGCCGTCTACCTGCCTCCCTCCTCTTCATTTGATGCAGCTGCTGCAGGCCAAATGTATTGGACCGAGGAGAGTGACTGCAGAAAGTATCAAATGGCGTGCCACAGCCCTTTTCTTTATTCTGCACAGCAGAAACAAACCTGTAGTCCACAAGCCATAATCCAGCAGTGACGAAATATTTCTCGATTACTGGTTTTGTTATGGCTTTTTATCGTGCTGCTGCTAGTTTTAGTTTGAAGGCAACATTGGCAAACCCAATATGGCAATTAGACAGCAATTCATCGCGTGCAGCTCGAATGGATTGCTGAAATACACGGTTGATTGCCTGGTCACAAGGCTGCAAGAAATGACTAGTGTTTGCAGAAAGGCGAACGATTTAGACGTTGTTTTCTGCACCATACTGCAGCCATTCTAGACTGCTACGGGACGCATGCCCGTCCAAGATAAGCACAACTTTTTTTCGGGGCAAACGTGCTTGCGAATGAACTTTGTCACGTGCTCCAGTGCATCTTTGATGACTTCACCATCAATTGAGTCATTTGGAGTCCCACATATTGGAGTGAAGGGCGGGCACCAATTGGTTTTTGTGAGCCAGTTCAATGACCCATCCAGACATCGGAAGTCTTTTTCCTGGAAAGGCTTCAACCACCTTGACATTACCTTTTTCCCAGAGGCAATTAAAAATAAAGGAGCAAGGAGGCCTGATGCGGAAGCAGCTATGCCTGCAGTCACATGCTTTCCGTGATCTTTGACTGCTAGTCGTCTTCCGCTATGGTGTGAGGTAGCCGATGTGAAAGTGTGAATCTGTTTCCCGTACTCTGCCAGCACACTGGTCCCATCCCAGTTCCACAGCCTTTTTGGGTCTTCAAAAATGCCCGGGTGCTTTTCTCTATTTGCAAGAGAACATCTTTCATTGTGGTAACATGGGCGAGGTTTTTTGCTCCTAGACGAGCGGCGGTAACATTCTTGGAGTTTCGATACGTTAGAGATAGATTTCGAGCACGAAAGGAGCGGATAGCGGCGGGGGAGGGAACATTATTGCGAAATCTGCGACGGCCGTCGTTGGATATTTTCGCTTGCATGCTTGGCATTGTACGAATATCAATTGCAAAACCTTTTTAGGACGCCTGGATAGCCCTTTGGCACCATAGTTCTTCCTGGGCGTCTTCGAGAACTTTTTTTCGCCCTGCGAATTGATGAAGGGGGTCAAGCAACTTTGAAAGTGCTTCTTTCTGACCCCCTCATAGGCGCTTTTTATGCGCTGAACTGTAGAGAGGCTCACATTCGATATGCTGGACGTCTCCCTGATGCTCTTTTGCGCTTGGAGTAGCTCAATAGCTTTCTCTCGCTTTTTGTTCTCATCCTTTCTTGGCTGTGTCTTCTTTTTGAAAGCCACGGCTTGAGACCGCATTGAAGGGGGCATTTTCCACGCACATTCGCGTTTGGAGAGATCTATGGAACGCGCGCAGTCGGTATATGATGTCTGGAAAGTTTTGGCGCAACCAGAACACTCGTTTACTTGTTATGACTAAAAATGTGAACGTGTTGCATAGAAAAAAAGTGTCCCAAATTAAGCCCTGTCCCAAATTGAGCCCCTGAGAACGGTACCCTTTTTTCTAGTTTTGCGGCGTCAGTACACTGTAGTCACTATTTTGGAGTAAGTCTAATTACGGTACCTGGGTGTACCGCAGCGCATGAGACCGCACACGTGGCGCACACGTGGCGGATCAGGTCGCTTTCGTTTCATCGTAGATCTACACCTCGCGCGTCAAAAACTACGCCAGATGGTCCTTTTTTTCTGTCTCCATAAAACGCTCGGATCTCAATTTCCCCGACCAGCCAGTGCCGTCAGTCACGACATCACAACGTCTGGCTCTTTCTCGCTTCTTGTACATAGCTCATCAAGGAGTTTTCTACCACTCGGAAAAGAATCAGATGCCTTGCGCCTCCAAGCAAAAGTCAACCTTCACCGACGTCGCCTCCGGCAGGATCGACAGAGAAGACAATGAAGTTCCAAATTCGAATACGCTCTTTTTCGTTCCACATTTCGTAGCGAATCGCTTGCCTAATCACAATTTCCGTTCTACCGGTGTCTCCTATCCGCGTTGTCCTCAACATTCCTTTCACTTCAGGAACCACCTCTGTGTGGGGGGCACGTCCCTGTTGCAAACGGCGGGTAAACTGTCATCTATCCGCGACTCTTCCCCGACTCGCAGAAAGCGCGCATCTCTTCCAACATTCATGCTCACTGTGGCAGATTCTGATTCTGGTCGAGATGCCCTGCAGCCTTCGTCGCAAGTTCAGGATCTGCCCAAGCGACCTATTCGTAGGCCTCTTGGCCGTACTAACGGCGAAAGTTCAGCGCGTAGCTCTACGAAATCCCCATCACAGACTAGCGAAGCAATGCGGTTGCAAGGATCTGAATGCTTGGCAACCGGGGATTTCACACAAGCAAAACGTCTGTTTCAACGTAGTGTTGATGTCGATCCGACAAATGGTCGGGCTTGGCAAGACCTCGCAACGGCTGTTGAACGCTCGTCGCAGGGGAGCCGGCTTGACAAGGTGAAAGTATTAGAAGATGGCCTTCGACACAACCCATCAAATCCGTACTTATGGCAGTCGCTAGCAGTCGCTAATCTTCGAATGTCCAAATTAGAGGAGGCATGCCATCATTGTCAACAGGGTCTACGAAGAGATCCTTCCCACGCCTCGCTCTATGTAACATGGGCAACTGCGGAAGAGAAGCGATTTGATGTGGCAACAGCTCGAGGGATATACGAAAAGGCAGATGAATTCGCCACACCGGGAGCGAAACTGTATCATTCGTGGGGCCGTATGGAGCTGGGACAAGGAAACAAAGCGCGAGCTCGTGAGCTTTTCGAGAAAGGCCTTGAGTGTGATTCTCGAAATCATTACATATGGCATTCATTAGGTTCTATGGCGAGAGCGGATCACGAGGCTGGTCGTGCTCGCGATTGCTTCGCGAAGGCTCTTCAATCGGATATGAACAATGTTGTCGTGCTAGAAGAGTGGGCTAAACTGGAGGCATATGAAAAAAATTACGGTCTTGCTCGGTCTCTATTCTCACGTGGAGCAGCGGCAAACAGAAGAGATGTTCGCATTCTTCACAGTTGGTCCCTCTTTGAGTATCAGGTAAGTTACGTGCATGCAGGATGCAAAAAAACCCTTGAGAAATCATCACTGACAATTTCTTCGCCATCAATCTCCACATCACATCGTCTTTCCGGCAGATGAGATCTTATCAAAGAGCAAAGGAACTCATTCGAAGTGCGGTCCGCATATCTGACAGAGACTCCATATTGTGGAATCACTATGCCAAAGTTGAGGCTGCACTCAAGAACTACCCCAGGGCTCGTGCCCTGTTCAACAGAGCATGTGACGTGAATCCTACGGATTGGTACGTACTCACTGATAAGAGGCTTTCTGGAGTGAGAGGCTCATCAACTTCTGACTGTTTTGCTTCATATGTTGGGCATTTATCAAACGGTTCTGTTTACATGGTCCGTTGTTGACTATAACAATTCCGGTTTCAATACCATACTCTAGGCAATCCTGGGACAACTGGAGCGCGTTGGAACACAAACTTGGGAACAATAAGCAGGCCGCAACTTTGCTCCAGGAGGCTTTTCGGGTTCGGTTCAATGCAAAAGGTGCTTTCACGGTCCTTGCGAACAACATCTCAGACGCACCGCCGACTTTAAATCCCATGGATTCGTAACATACTCTTAACCAGCGTAGTACAAAGTACAGAGTTGTGCAAGCCTTCCGCGAATGTCGCAGGTACACTTGTTCAAAGCTTCCGCTGTGGTTGCAATTATTCATGGTACGTTCAAAACAGTTTCCAATGTAGACATGCCCATCAGAAGCTGCGGGCCATGCGGGGGCTTAGTTTGTTCTTGGGTCATAATGCGCCGGTACGACGCTTGGACGGCAGTAGTGTGTGGTGCACTGCGGAATCGTCAACAGGTCTGCTTCGCTTATGAGGTGTGAAAGCGGGAGAAGAGGTTGCCGAATTGGGTATTGCTGGTTGGGTTCTTTCAAATCCGTGGACCTGCGCATCAGGACCATCAGGCGTCTGGACTTCAAGCGGGGCAAAACACCCGTTGATATGATCCTGCTCGTAGAGACAAAAGTGCTCGTTCCAAAGAGAAAGAAACGAATTTGAAGTCTGGCCATTCTTTGATGAGAGCATACTGTAGGCTCGATACACTCTTGTATCACGCAAAGCTTCGTACAAGTTTGCGCCGTAGGAAAGTTCCTGGACGGCGTCTACCACTTTCGGCAAAGACTGAAAGTATTCGATCCGCCCCTTCGCTACGTCAAGCTCTGCACGGTATTCATCGTCCTTGCTAATACAACCTCTGTTCACCGAACCAATAAGGTGTCGACCCGAAGTCCGTTCTATGCGATGGAATTCTGGAAGACTTGAAACAGCAGCCAAGTAGTTTTCCGTGTAATCGGGCTCAAGTGATTCACCAGGAATTTGTACGTCTTTTTCGAAATATGCGTCTGAGACGTGTGGCAGAAGCAAGGATGGTGTGTGACGGCGTTTCCTTCGAGCAATCAAAATGTCATCGATTGTACCCACGACAGATAGAAAATATACGTGAATATCCGTCTCTGTCGAAAAGTTATATACCCTGTTGATTCCCTGTGACGTCGCCGTTTCGTTCCACAGGGATTCCAACACCAGGATGTGCGAAGAATGAAGAGCTCCCCAGCCAGCTTCTTCACAGAAATCAACGGCAAAGCCAACAGGAGCAAGTAGAACAGCCCCGGATGTACAGTTGTAAAAGTTGTTGATCTGAACAATTCGTGCCTCCTCTTCAGACAATAGGTCACAAAAAAAGACTTCGCATTCAGTGCAATTTGCTTGGATAGCCGCAATTACTTCTTTTTGTACTTCGGGCATTGCACAAAGGATGACAAGCTTGCCGTTCGACTGTGCTGTGGCGTCGCACATTCTGATCATGGCCTCAAACTTTGCGTACTTGATAGAAGCCGTAACTTTTTTCTGAATCACTTTGTGCAATTTCTTGAAGACGGCTTGAACACAAGGCACCTTTCTTGCGATTTCGTCTTGTGGTTCTTCATTATCTAATCGCGTGCACAAGAGCTGCAGCAATGCCAATATGCTAGTCGAAGCGAGCATGAGAACGTGCATGGCCACGTAGTTACTGAGCTCACCCTTCTTCCTCGAAGCCAGCACCAACTTGGCGATGTCGTCATATATTTCCCTATGCGCTGGAGAAAGTTTTAAAAATATCGTGGTCTCTCTCAATTTGTGACCCCTGCTGCTCTCGACACCACGATTTAGCGTTTCTCCGTCCACTTCGTGAACTACGTATTGAAACATCATCTCTAATCCTTTTTCAATTGGGGATACTTGCCGATTTTCACCAAGGCATCTTGTATTCATGTTGCAATGGATTAACTTACTGAGAAACACTCGCAAATATTCTTCCAGCGAACCAAGAAACTCTGGCACAGCCCAGTCGATGATGCTCCAAAATGGAACCATGTTATTGATCCGCGGTAGGTTGGTAAGTGCGAGGCGCGACTTCGTTTTGATTCGGTTCAGTGAACGTCGTAGAGCCGGTTGCAATGTGAGAAGGCGGGAGGCTTCATCTAAAATGACGATTGAGGGCCCTGGACGACAAATCAAACGAATCGTTGCAGCCCTCTGCTCGGTTGACGACGATGGTGCGTACAAAACGTCACGGTACACATCAAAAGGACACAAAAGCACACCGCCCTGTTCGTTCCATCGCTCAGCGTCTTGCGCCCACGTTCCAGACTGCAAAATAGATACGGAAACACCACGACAACACTTCGCTGCTGCCATCCATCTATTGACCGAACAGCGGGGACAAAATATGACTATTCTTTTGTGCTTATGTTGAGGTTGAGCATTGACAAGATAGCAAAACGTTAAAACCAACAAGGAACTTGGATAGCCAATTGGTGGATTGAAAACGGCTCCTGCGCAGGTGTCAGCGATCATATAATGCCAAAGATACCGCAAGGCATCCAGATGTATCTCGCAAAGTTCACCACTTTTGTCATGCAGCTTTTTCAAAGACCTGCAATAATCAACGGGAAGGCGAATTGTGCCATCTTTGCCTTTCCAAATGCAGTAGTACTTATCATCTTCGGAATTTCGCGGGGGAAACCCCTTACGGCTGTTGATTAACTGTTTCCAGCGATCTCTTACGTCTCCAGAGAGGCTTTCTCTCCCTGAAAACATGGGACTGGTTATCTTAGGAATTGGTTCTCTTCGTGGAGAGGGAGATTCTTCTTTGATCTGGATGACAGGTACGCTCTGGACCTCACCCGGTATGGTGATGACCTCGGGCGTATTGCGTGCCTCATGGGACGGTTCCACTCTTACTTCTCTACTATTTACATCGGTAGCGCCTTGCGGTGCGGCTTGTGCTTGACCAGCCCCCTCCACAGTTGCACCATGCGGTGGCAGGTGACTTTCACGAGTGGCCTTCAATGTCCTCATCTTACGGCTGTATGCATCGTTGTACAATCGCAAACAGTCCCCTGCAAAAGATATTGAATCTGGAATGCGATTCCGCATAAGGAATTCCAATAGCTTGATGAGACGTCTGGAGGGGTGCCGTGATGGGATTCGTTGGTCGTTTGCGAGGCGATGAAGAGAGTCCAAGAAGTCAGAAGGATAAACAGGCGGATCTCGCTGTGTGTCTTGCTGTGAAGTAGCAAGATCTTTCTGGTCTGTTACTTCGCCGAAATCAGGTGGAGCACGTGAGTGGGATGGTTGCAAGGGCGGCGTTTGTTTGAGAGGAGGAATTGGAGGGTTTGTACGGGAAGAAGTGGCTTGCACAGTTCGGAGAGGGTTGGGGGGAATCAACACATTAGCGGTGTGAATACTAGGGACAGTTGAGGTCGAAAGCGCAGCAGAAGGCACCCATACAAGTGGAGATGTATCTGCAACATGAGGGGAGGGACGATGAGGTTGTCTCCGCGGTAGTACAGGTGGGGTGGTCGGATTGTTCGCGGTCGCACCGGAAGCAGATGGTGCACCGTTTGATCGGGCCGCGGAAGGACGCCTCCTTGGCTGAAACACTCCCATTGTTAGTCAAGCCTTTACACGAGATTGGGAACTATATGTGTAGAAATGCTCATGTGTTAGAGCTGATACACTTGAAAAGTAGTGTGACGATGGGCCGGTGCGTGGATGGGAGAGAATTTTCCTTTTTGATGTTTGTGAATAGCTCTAAGCTGTAGAGCTCCTAAGTTTTTGTTGCTCAACAGATGGCAGCGGATAACCCTCATGAGTGGTCATCTGGACGAATTCGGAACTAAGGCACCGCTGCGCACACTTAATTTCAGTGGAAAGTATGGAGTGTTGAGTACACGTGTATATCACACTGGCTCTGGATCTACTGCAACCCTTTAATTAAACGTAATTGGTTGATGACTAAGGACAGCCTCCTTGGCATTACAGTATAGGCGTATTCGATGCACGGTTATTGTACAGCTCGCAGCAAGAATTTTTCGCTTGTCCCATATCTACTGTCCTTCTGTAAGCACCACCAAGTACAGTATGATAGGTTGGCAAGTAGATTCCTCCAAAGACGAGCAAGAAGTGTGACAATTTATCTCCGGTGAGAGGTTTATTAGCGACCTTCGCTTAAGCCCAAGCACCCAGTGCCTCGCAGACTTTCAACCGAAAACAAGCCCTGTTTCTTTCTGCTGATCATCCACGTAGACTCATGAGTCAGGCATCGCCTTCATTGAGTAAGTGGCTTTCCTTCCAGTTACTACTTCGCAACAGCTCTAGGCGGAGTACAAACCCATAGGATACAACAACGTCAACACAGATTTGCAACTCAGTCTGTCACGATGACAACTATTGACCGTTTGGGCCTTCTTGGAATTCGAAGCTATGGCACAGATGATGAAACATTCATCAAGTTCTACAAGCCCCTCACCATAATTCTCGGTCGCAACGGGAGCGGAAAGAGTACAATCATTGAAGCTGTAAAGATGGCTACCACTGGTGACCTCCCGCCAATGGTAGACAATGGCGCCGCATTTATACACGATCCCCGAGTACACAATGAAACCGAGACTAAAGCAAAAATTCGTCTCTTATTTACCAACGTCCGTGGCGATCAGTACGTGGTTTCAAGGCATTTTCAACTCTCTCTAAAGAAAGGGCCTCGCAGCATTGGGTATAAAACAGAGTTCAAGACTATTGACCAAACCGTGAAGAGAATGGATGGCGGTGCAGCATCCTCCTTCCGATGCGCGGACCTGAACGCCTTACTACCAGAGATTATGCGCGTCACGAAGCCCGTACTCAACAATGTCATATTCGTTCACCAAGAAGATTCCTTATGGCCGCTAGGGAAGTCTCAAGAGCTGAAGTTGAAGTTTGATCAAATTTTCGCTGCCACTCGGTACACGAAAGCCCTTGATACTATCCGCAAGCTCAGAAGAGAGCAGGCTGCAGATCTGAAAACCGTCAAAGTAGAACTGCTGCACTACGAGGACAAAGTCAAAGCATTAGAGAAAGTGCGAGGTGAGGTCGATGAGACTAGGGTGAAGCATGATGAACTCCAGCGAGGGGTTGACACTCTCGACAACACTATTGCAGGTTTGGCGACAGATAAACAAGCAGCGGAACTGACCGCTCAAGAGTACAATGAGTGTCGGTCGAAGCTAACAGAGTTAAACGTGGAGCGCGAGCTTGTGGAAAGGTACAAGTCCGAAAACCTTTCGAAGATGAGCATGCATGTACCAGATATGAGTGATGAAGCTCTCAATTCTGAGATAGATGACTTGAAACGCTTACTGACAGGTGTCGAGGGCGAGCGAACAGAACGTTGGAACCGAATTCAAAAGTTACGAAGCCATCTCGAAATGAAACGCGAGGAAGTCAAATCCAGACAGAGTCGGAAAGGCACACTCGAACAGGTTGCCAAGGAACAGTCCAATCGAGTCTCGCGGTTGGAATCCATGAAAGAAGAGTTAGATTCCGCTGATTACTTCAGGATGACGAAGGTCTCCCACAAAGAACCTCTTTCCCTTCCTCCTCGAACTGCAAGGCTACAAGAGTGGACGGATGCGATCAGTAACCTACATAAAGAAGCTGAAGAACAATTCAGATTGACGTCAGAAGATTGCAACATGAAACTCGACGCAGCTACTAACAATTTGAATAATGCTAAGTGGCGCGTTCGGGAGGGCCAGTCGACTTATGAGCGAAAAACTGAAGAGGTCCGGGTGAAGAAAGCAAGATTATTCGATGTTCGGCTCATTTTACGAGAGCTCAGTGATTCAAATACTTCCTTGAAAGAGGCGGAAGGTAGGCTTGGGGCTGCGAAAAATGCCTTGAATGAGAAGAAAAGGAACGCAGCCATACCGAGAATCGCTGCAGAAATTCACTTCAAAAAGAAAGAAGTCGTCACGTGCACAGAAGAGTTAGACGGCTTGCGGGAAGCCCGGCAAAGACTGCAGGACTATCAGAATGAGCACGCCAAATATGACATTTTCAGGGACTTGGAGAAAAGAAAGAAGACACGAATGGAGGGAGTCGTTGAAGATTTTACGGATCTGATTGCTTCTGCTGTCACTGAGCTATGCCTCGACAAAGAAGAAACGTCACTGCTCTTGAACGGAATGCTTCCGAGCAGTACCAATATAACGCTGGCTCATGCGGACCGTTTAAGAAATAGCATTTTGGAAGCTACTGACGACATGCTCTCGCGGAAGGATGCGTCTATTCGACAGGCAGAGCGATATCTCAGTATTGCGAATGCGAATCTGAAATCGGCCTCCCTCCGAAAGGCAGAGGCGACAGATCAGTTTGAGGGAATATCACAGCGGGTCAAAGACATGTCAAGCAAACTTTCGGAAGCGTCAGCTTCTATCGGTGCACTTCCGAAGGCTGTCATCTCCGTGGAACCAGTCCTGAAAGTTCTTCGAGAAAGTCTTACCCTGTCTGGTTCAGCTCCATATGCACTTCGGAAGGAACATCTATCTGTTGTCCAGCAAGCGGTGGATGCGGCGGAGTTGGCTGTAGTTAAGGCGAATCAGAAGACCTCCCAACTGGAAAGCGGAGCACTGTTAGCTGAGGATGAGTTAGAAACTTTTGAACAAGATCCGAAGCATCGGTGCCCAGCCTGTGGATTGGGATCGTCAAAGAAGGTGGACGACATGCGAAGAAATTTGAAGAGTCGCATCCAATATCTGAAAGACCCAGAAAGTTCTAAAGCTGCTGCGCGGGAGCTGATAGAACTTGACCACTTGTCGCGTACTCTAAAGAGCACGCAGACAACGGGGTTAACGGCCGTGGCTAATTTGCTTACGTACGATGCAGCGGAAGCGAAGCTTTTGGAGTCGAACAACGCTTTGAAGGAGTGCGAGAAAAAGGCAAGAGAAGCGGAAGCCGCACTAGGCGACTTACAGGCAAGATTCGGCGTGGGGTCTGCCATGGATCAAATTTGTTCAAAGCGTTTAGAGTTGAAGCAAGTATGCGTTGATTGGAAGCGTGCCGCCAATGATGTTGTGACCTTGAAGGCTGAGTTATCAGCTACCTCGAGCGATGCTCGATCGCTTTCTAAAATTGATGAGGACATTAAAGGCGGCGAGGACAGAATGAAGAATCTACTGGACGATATTGACAAGAATTCTCGGGCCTTGGAACGCGAAAGAGATAACCTCCACCGAATAGAAAATCGATTCCATGCTTGCGAGAAGCAATGTTTGAACCTGCACATCGCAGCAGAGGATCACATGCGCCTCAAAAAGGAAAAGGAGGAGCTTTCAAAATTCATTCGTGAGACAGAGTTGGAGACGGAAACTCTTCAAGAGAGTCTGAATTCATTGCAGCTAGCATTAGGGCATGCCGAAGAAGAACAAGTCACAACTCGAGTAGAAAATGACTTGACTCTGAAAGAAGCTAACGCGGTTCTGTCCAAGAGAAATGTTGCGCTGCAAAGGTGGAATGATTGCGTGACCAGGGTCGAAGCATTCAATCGGTCAAGGAATGCCGATGATCTTAAAAACATCGTTGCCTCGCTTCAATCACTCGAGCATGAAATCGAGTGTCTCGAAAATGATCTGCAGGGGCACGAAAATGAACAAGACACAGCGTCTACATCGAAAGAGGATATAGAGTCCAAAATTCGAAACCTCCGAGATAACCAAAGCTTTCGGATTGACGAGCGGAAAGTTCAAGTCATTAATCGAAGTGCGAAGCATATACAAGATGATATATCCTCATTAGAGCGGGCGTCAGGAGGTAATCCCAACGACAAAGTCAAGGAACTGACCGCTAGAATAAATTCGAGAAACGAAACAAGAGCCAATATTATCGGGCAGAGGCAAGCCATCCTCAATCAATATAAGGTAAAGAAGAAAGAAATGACTCATGCAGAAGAGCAAGGAAGCAGAGGCAAGTTCGATGAAGCTCGGATCCGAAAACAGACGATGGAACTCGCCTCAAGTGATTTGAACAAGTATCATCGCGCGCTGGACCAAGCTCTCATGGCGTTCCACACCTTGAAAATGAATTCTATAAATCGAACAATCAAGGAACTCTGGCAACAGACATATCGTGGGAATGACATCGAAGAAATCGAGATTGTTTCGGATCATGGAGCCCCTCGTTCAAACACCACAGGAGCTCCGACGCGGACATTTAATTACCGAGTGCAAATGCGCCAAGGACAGGCCACTTTAGACATGAGAGGAAGATGTAGCGCGGGGCAGAAAGTGTTAGCATGTCTCGTTATCCGCTTGGCTCTTGCAGAGAGCTTTTGCACAGATTGCGGAATCTTGGCTTTGGATGAACCAACGACTAACCTTGACAGAGAAAATATTGAAAGCCTCGCCAAAGCGCTAAGAGCCATCATTGAGAGTCGGAGAAAGCAACGAAGTTTCCAACTAGTTCTGATCACACACGATGAAGAGTTTATAGATTTGATTGGAGCTCGAAACTTCTGCAATGAGTTCTTTATGATCTACAAGGACAAGCAGGGCATATCTCAAGCACGTGTTCAAGATTTACGAGAGATGTAAAACGAACATCTGACATCTCGACCGATGTCCATTTGGTTCGAGTTGAATGAACTTGACCTGCCCCTCTACTGCATAGCAGGTCGCTAGATGCAAACGATGGATGGGAAGAGAATGTGTTGCTGATCCCATATCACAATAAATATCCTCTAGTGGCTATCGGACCATTGTTCTCGTATCGTATGGACATTTTTCGGCTTAATTTTTTCTTGACTTGCACTTTCTCGACTAGAAAGAAAAAGACCCCCCCACCACAGTACTTGACTTGTACCTTGGGACCAGAAAAAAAGCTTTGTGAGAATGGCATGTTCTTCCTGGTCGTTTTTAGCTACGTCTGGAAAAGAAGCTTTCTTATACCACCTTAAAACCGGATGCAAAATAACTTTGAAACCAAAAACGCCAGTTTAAAAATGGGAACTACCCTTTGAAGGGTAGATACTCAATCTGATATGCCGCTCAAACGCCTGATACTGTATCCCGGCGTTCTACAAGGTGCACAGATCCAGAAAAACCGTTGAAAAGTACCCTTACGAAGGGTAATCTCATACGGGATCAGTTAGTTGTATGATATGAAAAGGAGCTACAGTACCCAAGAGTACAGTACGGGGTGGTATCTATGCTACTGTACATGTGGCACATTCGCTGACCGGGAATCCCACTTCGTTTTCCATCAACTGTTGATGTCAACTGTCAACAGTTGACATCAAGACCGGTCGATCGGGCACTACTGTGATCAGGCGGATGTGGAACTCGTGCAAAACTCACACGCCCCCAGTTTTCGGTATGATGTGAGTTTGGCCAAACGCGTTGTCTGGAAAATTTTCGTTAAGAAAACATGAGCAAACACGCCGCCGAAACACGCGTTTTCGTAACTTTACGGACAACCTTTGTACATGCATTGGAACAACTCGTGACCAGACATCTTCCCCTCAGCACACTCGTGAATTACAAAACTCGTTTTGTCATGAAGATGCCCGCGATTGATTTTCTGCAACATCCTTAACAAGGAAAGCGAAGGTGTGGGTAAAAAAAACTGTTGCATTCAAAGGTGTACTGAGCATGAAGACTTCCATTGCAACCGAGATTGCATCAAGGAATACCTTCATTGCGTAACGTCAAACGCGACCATGCGTAATGTTCCATTGGTCTTTTCTGATGTGAACCCCAAAAATAGTAACACTCTTAATGAGCGGAGTAAAGTGCAAAAAGAGTACACTGCCTCTGAGCAACACTCGATATGCCCCTCCAATGGTGCTTGTCCATTGAGGCGACGGGAGAATCAATATCATGCGCTACTCTTGCCCTTTCCCATTTGAACGTTAATCATGACACAGTTTCTTCTCGTTCGTCTAGGAGTGATACCTTCTCGATGCTAAGGCTCTCGCTAACTTCCGGAGCTTGTTGCCTTAAAGAACCCAACCCAAGTGTTTTCACGCACACCTGCGCACCAGTACTTTCCTTTGGCCTTTTCAGTGGTAAGATGCGTGCGATTAGTTCCAAGTCTGTTGGAGATACATACGCTTTGCCAGTTTGTTCTGTAATGTACTGATTGTCCGCAAATGACCCCAAAATGGGCTAGATCTTCACATTGCACTACAGGTTCATCCCCCAAATGCGTACCTCGTTCAGTACCAGTGAGAAAACAACCAATGTCTTTGCTCACAAGCCTTGAGCCCTTAGTCCGGGTGGCAAGCATGGCGTAGTCTCGCCTGTTCAGGCCGAAAAAGTTCGAGACTTGCGACTGTTTTGTTAGTATCATTTTCCCACGAACGGCGTTTCTAACCAGATTGGGCTCACTCGAAAATAGGCTGAAAATTCCAGGCACCGTTAGCAGGAGCAGCGCGAGTATGAAAAAGGCAGATTCAAACCTCTCCATAAAGTTTGTGCGATCATCATAAACAGCAGTCAAAACTGTGGCCGCAACCGCTACAAGTAACAAAAGAAGGCATGCAAGGAGGCGGTGAGGTGCCGGCACGAGCAATCCCTCGGGAAGCACAATAACACACGTCGAAATGGCCTCTAGTTCTAACAAGCGGTCGAAAAAGTCTCTGTCAAACGAGCCATTGACAACACCGCACCCTTTTTGATTTTCGAGAATGACAAAAGATTGTTTTGCGAACAAGGCCTTGAGAATTGGGAATGAGGAACGATCTCCATACTTTCTATAATCAATGCCGTTTTCCATCCATATGACGCCATCAGGTCCCGGCCCAAGCAAGCTTTCCAATGTGATATTATGCCTCAAACACAAGAGTCGCGCTTTCACTTCCAAAGCGGGGTTCTCGAAAAAAGAGATTTTCAGAAAAGCACGTGCATCGAAGACCCCCTGATCTTGCCAGGGCATAATAACAGGACTATCACCGACTGAAGATCCATCTCGGGGCTCCCCATCACGAACTGCTGAACCGCGAGTTAGGTTGTAGGGGATGTGAATCGGTACTTTCCGAATCACGAAGGGTGAAGCTGCAGAATAGCGAATACAGGTAAAAGTGCCCAATGTGTTGTAATGAGAAGCGGCGTCTTGCTCAGGTTGCACAAGCCCAGCTGTTTCGTTGGTGCCATGAAAAATGGGCGGGGTGTCGGCTACGTCTGCCGAATCCTGCGTCCCAAATTGTTGCATTTACCCAGACTTACGGATAACCCAAAATGTGACGTTGAGGGAGACCCATTCGCGGTCAGAAGCTGATTAACATTTAGAACATTCCATAGTTGTGAACGTCAGGATGACCTCACACCGCGCGAAAGCCCTTGCCCAATTTTCCAACCACCAAAAAGTTTAGACCAAAGTACCCTTCCTAAGAGCAACCCCACCGCGCACATCTACAGTCACCATCAAAAATATAGGACCAGTTGGGGGCCAAGGTTCCACCAAAGGACGACGGGTCTTAGCTCTGTTGTAAATAAAGATGTAAGGTATATGATAAGGTACGCATTAAGTTAAACAAACGGCATACACCGGCATACATCGATGGTGTAAGTAAAGCGACGCTAAATTAAAACAAAGGACAGCTTACAGTTATAACGCCATTTACAGTAAATGTTTACTCCGTAAAATTCCTGAGTAAACATTTACTCGCAATCAGATTAAAATTTACCCGGTTTCGAGTTGATGGTTGCGAAAAATGTTTACTCCTTAACATTCCCGAGTAAACATTTACCCGCAACCAGGTTAACCTTTACTGTGCCTTTAATGGCTTACGAGACATGTCATACAGTCATTATAATCTGAGTGACATGTGATTGTTTATTCGACGATATGATATCGAGTATAGGTTTACTGTTCCTCGCTTTGCTTGACAGTTAACGTTTACTTACGGATAAAAGCGCGCGAAGCCGGAATAATCCTCTCGTATTGCTGCGAACAGTTCGATTTTTAGGTTCCATATAAAAAGGGACCCGAAGTTTTTTACATCGAGCGCCCACCATCATTCTCACCGACGTCACCCTTTTGTTTTCTTGCGCGTTGGTTTTTTCGAATTCGTCACTCTTTTGTTTTCTTGCGCTTTGGTCTCTTTCAAACTTGACCGCTCGTTGTTTTCAAGAACGGGTGTGGTATGTGTCGCTCTGTGTTTCGTTTTCTAGACAGACAAATCGGGGATCTGACATTTCAACTGATTTTTTAGCCTCGGAGTTGTGTCTGACCGACATGTGCAGACAGGAAAAATAGCGCGATCTGCGTCCGTCGAGGCCGAGAGGACAGAGTCGACCCCTCACGGGGTCGATCGCCAGGTGAGAAATCTGACCTTGGCGGGGCTATAGCTACAGCGGGTGAGCCCGCTGGGACCTTCGGTACGCGTCAAGAAGGGGAGCCCTCGGCAGAAAAAGAAAGCCTCAGAGGCGTGGAGCCAACTCAAAGTGGCCCCACTTCTGCAACAAGTATTTCGGAGCGCATATAGTGCACGAAAGGCACAACCGCATCCTTACAAGCTGGGGGATTCAGTATGGTTGGACAAAGTTTTATTCAAAGATATTGTTGCTAGGGTTCAAAAATCGAGCAAGTTGGGAGCCAAACGTTTCGGGCCCTATACGATTCAGGAGCTTATTGGAAGGAATTCTCTCCGACTACAGCTTCCTACTAAGTCCCAGATTCATCCTATAGTTCACGTCGAACATACCAGGCCGTATCGTACCCAGCCTTCAGATCTATAGGTTCAAGTCACGCCAAGGCCCGTTCCAGTTGTGTGCAAGGATTGCAGCGTCGAATATACGGTACAGGAAATACTATCACACAGGAAACGGGGAAGAAAATTTCAGTTTCTTACCCTCATGAAGGGCGCTCCTAGGCATGAGGCAGCGTGGCAACCCACTGAGGATTTCATCGACACAAATGGAACCGTCACATCTGTATTTCTGGACTACATTCAGCATCATAACATTCTGATGCATTTGCATTGACGTGGTCGTCAATAGAGGAAGGTGACAATAGTGCAACAAGTATTTCGGAGAGCATTTCGTGGCAGATTATTAAGACAGGATTTCGTGGCAGATTATTACTTCTCTGTGTACCTGTTAGACCAATAATGATAGGCCGGGTTTGTAGTATAACCCCCCCTGGGGCTTTTTAGATTAGATCAGCAACGGATCCAATACTGTAGAGCCTCGGGCTCTTCAGTACTACCGCACGTGGCCACGTGTACCCCTCGGGTACAGGGCGCACGCGTGCACACGTGCACACGTGTACCGCGCGGGACGGAAGCGCGCGCATACACGTGTACTGTCAGCCACGATGGCTGACCGTATTACAGTACGGTCCGATCCGTGCTACAGTAGACCGCTACAGTACTTCGGTACTGTAGTCTTATAGGTTGTTTTGTATATTAAATATGGAGCGGACTGGCGACGGTGGAGGAGGATAGGCACAGACTTGTCACCCACCGACCGTCAACGTCCGACTTCGCGCTTATTCTAAGATAGCGCTCACTAACTACCTTAGAGCGGCACTGAGCGCGGGTTGAGGACGCGCGCGGTACGCCCACGAGTCGGCGCCGCCTCCGCCCGTCGGTACTGGATCGTTACCCAGTACCGCGCCGGGGCGTCGAGGCGTCGAACCGCTCGCGCGTACCGGCGTCCTCCCCGTTCCCGCTCTACCACGCTACCCGGGCCCGCTGCCCGGTGCCGTTAGCTGGTGTCCCGCTTCACCCCCGTCTTCTCGTTCGGACGGGGTCCACGTCGAGCTGTGCATACACCCCTATCGCTGGGGGTGTTTATGCTACAGTGGTCTCCCGACCTAGAAGACCCTGGAGTCCGATCTCCGAGAAGACTTCCGCTTCCCTCCGCGAACCGATCGCGTCGAGATGAGCCAAGAGCTCGAGCCCTCGATCCGCTCAGAAGCGGCGGATCTGAGTCCGGCCGCTGTGCAGTCCCCATCCGCCCCGTCGGGCGACGGTGACGCAGTTCCTCGTGACCGCGAACCGTCGCTCGGTTCCTCCGAGGAAAGAGCGGCGGCGATGTTCGAACGCATAGCCGAATACATCGAGGAAGTCCGTACTTCCCTTCGGATCGATGTATCGGACCATGTATACACTCGATGTATGGCCGAACTCCGCTCCTTGCGTGAAGGGAGGTTCGATAGAGTGACGCAGTCCTTAGAGAATCTCCGAGCACTGATCGACGAGTTACACTCGCGGATAGTGATCGTCGAAGACTCCCGTTTCGTCTCGCCCGGACCGTCCGGGCAAGGTCGCCCTGAGAGGCCGACCTCGGTGAAACGACCCGAGGACCGAATCTCTCCGTCGGCAGAGCAATTGGGTGCGTTTGCGCACCTCTCCGCTGAGCTCGACGCCACTCGTCGGCGTGCTCGTGACATGGAACGTACCATGGCCGAAAGGCTACCCGGTGCCCCCTCGAGAGGGCCCGGTGGTACCGTACCTCCGAGCGCCGCCGCCCCCGAAGGTTGGCGTCCGACTGGTGCCGCTACCAGTCGGACTGCAGAAGGAAGCCGTCCTCCGATAGACGCGAACTTCGCGTGTGAGACCCAAGCCTTGCCGCCTATAGCCGGAAGTAGGCGGCAAGTGGACCGCGTATCGTACGCGGACGAAAAGGACCGTGGAGGAGCCGCCCGCGGATCCGATGTTCTCCGTCGATCTCCGCTGGGGCAGCTACCCGCCGGCGAGTTACGCCGAGCCTCCAGGTCCGGTAGACGTCCGTACGCTACCGGTTACCTCCTTCGGCACGCTGGGTCCCGCTGAACCTGGGCTCGAGCCAGTACATACGATGATCCAAGAGTTCAGCGCCGTTGCTGACTATCGTATGTACCGCTTGGATAACACCTCGAGGCTCGTTACCTCGGGTGATGCGGGACGGATCGCGAAGTACGTCCAACGCTGTCATGGGATCCGTCCCACGATGCGCAGCTTCGACGGTACCGACCCGATCCAGCTGCTGCCGTTTTTGAAGGATATCCGAATCACCTTCAACTCGCAACACCTGACCGAAGGTGTTGCGGTACGAGTCCTCGCGCACTTCCTCGAGCGCGACGCGGAGCGCCTGTATACGAGTTATACGATGCGTGGCCTCCGCGCCGGCCAGCTCCATGACGACGTGAGCTGGCCGGGGCTCGTGAATCAATTCTTGAAACGCTACCTCACGGACGACGTGTTAGGTGAAGCGTACGACGCTGTCGCTACGGCGCGACAGCAATCGCATGAGACGGAAAGCACGTTTGCTGACCGACTCGAGACTGCCGCGTTCCGATGCACGGCAGTCTTCTCCGAACAGTCCCTCGCGCACTACTACGTGCGGGGACTTGCACCGGCAACCCGTGCGGCAGTATCCGAAACTGTGCAAAGGCTGCCAGGCAGTCAGAAGACCGATCTTCCGACCATCCGCCGTATCGCCACGGCGGAAGGTACAACGTACCGCGCTCGGCGCCGTTTACCTCTGCCGGATTCGAAACCGGCAGGGAGGGGTGGCAGGACTACGAAGTCCGCCGCGACAAGTTCGCCCGCCTCGACCCTCCACATCGGGGAGGATGAGTGGCAGGCCGACCCTGTCCTCATTACGCAAGGAGCAGGACCCGTGGGGGCACGAACCCCCTCACCGATGTCGACCGGAGCGACATCGAGTTACGCGACCGCGTTCGCGGCCACTCCAGGAGTGGCAAGGGGTACGGACCCCCGGGTCGCAGAGCTCGACATATCGACCCGAGATGCAGGAGGCGAAGCGCCTCGCGTGCCCCTCCTCACCGATGAGGAGGCGCGGCACGCGGCGACCTTCGCCTCAACGGACGGCAGCGCGTACGTGTGCTGGCTATGGCGTACGTACGGGCATGCCATGTACGCGTGCCCGTTCCTGTCGCCGGAACAACGAATGTTCACGGCGTACAGGAACTACGGCTACCAGATGGAGACGCGACCCGGTGCACGTAATCTCCTCCGGCAAGCGGCGGGCGAGGGCCGTCCTCCGCGTCAAGGTTTCCCGAACCGATCGGGTGGGGGGCGCACGCATCGCCCCCCGTGGAGGCGGGTACCGTCGTAACGAAGTCGATCGTCGGGATCGACCCGCCTACCGGCAGGCGGACACAAGGTACCCCCGACAAGAAGAAAGAGGGGACCGAGACCGTTCTCGGTTACCCCAACAGGTACAAAATGCGATAATGTACCTGCAAGACTGGGTAGAGGA